AGAAGCAGGTATGGATCCTGTTGCTTCTTATATTCCACGTCTGTGTCCCAGAACTTCCACGTCCCGTCCTTGGAAACGGTCGCCATCCTACAGCCAGGAGACAGAGCACGGGTGAGCACAAGGAAATCGGGCAGCACTTCTTCCCCTGCCATGCCTGCGCATCAGGAATCTTTTGTGGCCATAGAACTCTTTTGGGAAATGTGAGTCTGCATACATGTACAGTCCTCATCCTCTTCCCAGCACACAGAGAACCGGTGCCCCAGGAGGAAACCCACGGGGAACACGCAGGTGGCATGGCGGCACCCCCACATCGCACAGGGTCTGGGCCCCCGCACAGGCGGCTGGCGTATGCTGGAAGGGGCAAGCTCACGTGTCCTGATGGTAAGCCAGGCCGAACTGCAGGTAGCACACACTCACCTCCTCGAGTCATTAGAAAAGGAGAAGGAATGTACACCAGCAGTGTGGCCTTTCAGCTCAAAAGCCCTGGCCACCTCCCGGAAGTCTCCGTTCTTGCCAAAACACACCTCCCACACCTTCACATCAGGGGTAAAGCCACAGGACGCCACAAACCTGGGTGAACAAACAAGCAGAGACAGAGGGTATCAATTACAGAGCACCTCTCAGGCCGGGCCGTGGGGCCAGCCCTGCAGAGCTCTCCTCTGCCCCACCCCGAGCAAGGCAGGGGCCAGGGGGAGCCCTCCAGCACAGAGGGGTGCGTAAGATAGGGCTCCACGAAGGCAAACCTATCCAGACTCCTAGGGCCAAGTCTTTGCTTTGGTCAGGTGAAGTTTTCACTTTTTGCTGAAACCAGGCTGGTAAAGGGAACGCTACAGAAGGCCACCAGGGACTAGAGCAGCTTAGGAATGAGAAACTCTTAGGCCAAAGTAAAAAAGCTAAAGGCTTTTGATCCCCAAACTCACTCTGCTTGGAGCACAGCAAGTTTTCCAGCAGCAACAAGTTAGAGACAGAGCAGAGAACAAGATTTTCCTGATAAACAAACCTCCCAGTAATAGGGATTTTAATTTTATAATTAACCTTTAAAAGGTTACATACAACTTAGAAACGCTGTTTGCTTTGCATATGTCATTTGCATTGTCCCACTTCTGCTGTCTGAGGCAATGGAGATGGTTACCACGAACAGCAGCACTGAGGCACAACAGCAACCCACCAACTGTCTGAGACCACTCAGGCAAGGGTCAGTGCTCCTGGAAGGGCTGCTCTGAGGGGCAGAATCCCTTTTAAAAACGTGGAACCCTCAGAAAATTGCATTAAAATAACAGCTAAATGCCAATGGTCTGAACTGATGATGTCCTCTGCGAAGGAGCGAGGTTCCCGTTCACTCCTGCAGCAGCTCCGCAGGTGGAGCGGCCTGGAACACCTCCCACCCCTCACCTTCCGCAGGGCGACACTGTGGCGTAGGCATTGTTCATTTGGTTGGTGTTAATGCTGGCCAGGACTTCCCCCTTCGGGCTCCAGATTAGGATGGTAGTGTCACTGGAAGCTGTCATGATAAACTTTCCTGGGGGGAAAAAGGCAAAGATCAGGAGAACTCCCAGGCCTAACGCTGCCACAGACTTACCAAAGGCTGGGGACGGTCCCTAAGCAGGGAAACCTCTCCCTGCACCTCGGCAGTCAAGAAAACCAGAAGCAGCACCAAAACTCAAGGAGTGTCAATCTCCCAGGACAGAGCGAAGAGCACTGTTGGAAGACTCGTCTCCTGGTTATGCCTTAGTGCACCCCTGACCACAGCAGCCGGCAGAGGCCACATGCGCTTCTCACCCCAGCGCCCCTCAGATCCCGCTTCAGAGCTCAGCGCCAAGCTGGTACCACAGGAGTAATGCAGCAGACTTGATCTTCCCCAGATGGGTAAAGCACAACTCGAGGCATCTGTAGCTTTCAAGTCACGGGTTGCGGGCAGGTAGCTGACTGCAAGTCACACCGCTATTGCCCATGATTACTGGCTGTGTCAGCAGTTTGGACTCCTGCTTGTTTCCACTTGCAACGCTTTCCCCTTTTCCACCTCAGCCCGGACAGGGAGTTGCCTGTTTACCTTTCAGCTACTTGTTGCAGGTTTAAGTTTTCACTTTCACAGCTGAACAAAGGTCTCAGTTAACATTTTCTCTGCTCTCCTATTATAGAGGTGAACTCAGATCCAGCCGCTTCCAACTGCCCGCTGTCACACATCCGAAGCCTTAATCCACCAAGCCCTCACTACTACCACATACCCCCTGCTCCCCAGACTCTGTTCTACAAGATCCCAGAAGTCCCAGACAGACCATATGAACTCACTAGAGAGATTTTTGACTGGTTAAAGAGAGAAGGGTGGGCCAGAGAACAGCGATCCTCTCAATATTGAGACCAGACCTCTTTGCAGCAGCATCCCTGAAAACGTAAATTAAGAGACTGTGCATATTGGGCAGCTAGTTCTGTGTTTATGGGAATATAATCTGTTTGAAAAGGACAGTCATCTTTCAGTTCACTCAGTAGTAAACAAAGGTTAAAAAGAAAACACCTATGAGACCACAAAGAATCAAGTACCACTGCAGAAATGGGCCTTGAAGTTGTGAAAAACTCCAAGACTTTCAGCCCAGCAGCTCTTGCTTTTCAAGGAAATCAAAGCCAATCTGGAGCCCTTGAGCTCCAAATGAGCGAGCAACTCATTTCCATACCTGTCTCTGCAATTCCTATGTTAATGACAGGAGCCTTGTGCTTCTTTGGGAAGTCTCCAGAAGTTGCAGTGAAGGTGAAGCTGCCGTCATCCTTCTTAGTCATTTTATAGACACGCACAGTCTCGCCATTTGCCAGCCAAACAATGAACGCCCTGTGGAAGCACAGACACTCTAAACCGTTAAGAAACGGGCTACCTCAGCTCAGCCTAGCTGCAACAGGTAAGCTAATAGGTCCTTCAGTGGCACCCAGGGAAAGGGATACGCTGGCAGGTAAAAAGCTGCGTGCTTTACGAGGCCACCAAGTTCTGTCCCTGTGTTAGCTCAACTGCAATGCCAAATGGAAAAGAACAGAATTTATTACTCCACATCTGGAAATGAGATTCCTGTCCTCTCTCTGACAGAGGCCGCTTCACGGAGTGCCAAGGCGTGCTTTTCCACCACCCCTCTCAGCCAGCCAGAGCTCTCTCCCAGCGCCCCGGAGAGGCTCAGCCCAGCCCTGGCAAAGGCCTTTAAAAGCGCCTTCCTCGGGGGTGGCAAGCGGGGCACTGGGATATTTGCTCCGAGCACCACACTAAAGCGCCCGCGGCTGTCACGAATCAGTGGTACCCTCAAGACCCCGCGCGGGACGCAGCCCCCACGGTGCCGATATGCCGCGAGCGATCCCGGGGCCGGGAGACG